CCAGACATCACGGAAGCTCAAGTCCTTCGCGCGGCACTATCTTTGAATCCCACATCCGCCGCCGGCCCGGACCGCCTCTCACCACGCCTCCTCCAACTTCTCGCTCGAACATCCGTCAGCCCGGAGGCGGGCGTCACCGGTCTCTCTGCCTTAACTCGCTTAGTTCAACGACTTGCCTCTGGCGATCTGCCTGACCGTACTGTACCACTTCTCGCTGCTTCTACCCTTATTCCGCTCCAGCCACGTCCGGACAAGATCCGCCCCATCGCCGTTGGCCAGGCGCTTCGCCGGCTTGTCACCAAAGTGCTGCCGCCTGCCGCTATAGATGACACACGCGACCGGCTCTCTCCCGAACAGCTCGCAAATGGCGTGCCATCTGGCATGGATGCCATCGTTCATGATTGCCGCATGCTCATGCGGCGCCATGGTCGAGACCCCAGCTACGTCCTTGTTTCCGTTGACGCCCGCAACGCATTCAATACGTTCTCCCGCCAAGCCATGCTGCATCGTGCACCTCTTCAGACCCCGACCCTATCACGATTTCTAAACCTAATATATGGCCACGCTGTCCCCGATCTTTTCCTGCCATCGTCGCCTCCAATTCTAATGCTCAGCCAAGAGGGTACGCAGCAGGGCGATCCTGCCAGCATGCTTATGTTTTCGCTCGCCATCCAACCCCTCATCCGCCGTCTCAGCCGCGAGTGCAACCTCGCTCTCAACCGTTGGTAGGCTGATGATGGAACCCTCATAGGCACAATTGCTGAGGTCACCAAGGCACTCCGAATTCTTCGAAATTCTGGCCCTGCCGCCGGTTTCCATGTAAACATTTCCAAGTGTCGTGCGTTCTGGCCATCGTCCTCCCCGCCAATCTCTCCCCACTTCTCGATGTCTTCCCTGTTCAGGTCCCTTCTGAAGGTGGAATGGTTCTCCTTGGCGCCCCCCTCGGCTCTGACGCCTTCATCAAGAATTATCTACAGACCAAGATCCAATCTTGCACCGACGCGCTTCGTCCTCTTCAGGATATTCCGGACGCCCGCATTCGGTTTCACCTCCATCGCGTCACCGGCTCTGTGTGCCGGGTGGAACATACGTTCCGCTTGACACCCCCGATCTTGTCCCTCCCGCTTGCTGTGCGCTTTGACGAACTCCAACGCGCCACCTACTGTCGCCTGAACGACGTTCCCCTCTCGGCATCTATTTCTACTCAAATTGGCTTACCTCTTCGTATGGGAGGTCCTGGCTTCACTCCGCTATCCCCGTTTGTGCATGCGTCCTACGCCGCCCGCCTTCTAGAAGCCGCCCGATCCGCGTTAAATGTCCCGCTAACCCCTCGGTGCCCTTCTACCGCAGCATGGCACGCCGCCATCTCGTCCGAGTGCTCGCGTCCATCAACCCGGAAATACGCACTCGTGGCGTGCTATCAGCACACTCCCCCCTCGGCCCATTCGAGCCAGACGCCCTCCTGGACAGACCTGAACGCGTACACACGACATTATTTCAGGCTCTCCATGGCGCCTTCTCAAGGATGTACTGGGAAAAGTCTGCATGGGATCGCCTCCCCAGCCCCTCCGACCACACACCAGTCTCCGTACGCCGCCGAGCGCGCTACAACTCCCTGTGCGCGCCAGGCGCCGCTTCCTTCTTGTGTGCTCATCCTGCCCTTACATCACGCGTCTCCAGTGAGGTGTGGTCATGTATGCTCCGCCGTCATCTTGACTCCCCGGTCTACGATGACTCCATCCAGCCCCTACTCTGCTCTCACTGTCGTCGTCCCATGGATATACGCGGTGACCATGCCACCATGTGCAAGCACGGCTTCGGTACTGTGCATCGTCACAACACGGTTCGGAACCCTCTGGCACGACATGCTTTCCGCGCCGCAGGATTGAGCTGTGATATGGAAGTCCCTTTTATCATCCCTGGCACGGCTCACCGCCCCGCCGATCTCCTCGTTCAGCCGGCTCCGCCTCCTGCGGGAGCTCTGCCAGACCGTCCTACGGCTTACAATGTCACTGTCCGGAGCCCCTACCGCGTGGGGGCCCTCATCCCGGCTGCTCGCGGTATAGCCGGCGCCGCCGAAGTGGCGGATGCTGACAAGCTAAGAACGCACGCTCGCATCATCCGCTCCGCTCTACATCTACAAGCCGACGCCTCGCTCTCTCTTCTGGACTGGCACTTTGTGCCTCTTGCGTTCGACACCCTGGGCGCTCCCAGCGCCCGCTCTTCATCTGTCCTCGAGTCCCTCTCCCATCAAATTGCCATCCGCACCGGTACCACCTTCGGTACTGCAAAGTCTCGTCTCTCTCATCGTCTTAGTTATGTCATATGGTCAAGCGTTGCCTCAGCCACCCTCGCCCGCATGCCTTATCATGGCGCGGCCTTATCTTGTCCCGCCCAAGTGTGAGTCCTTGAAGCCTGCCCTATGATATGGCATCGGCCCCCCCCTGATTAGTGAAAATAAACCGACAGAGCCGTGGAAATGTGCTTACAGCCACAAGTAGCATACGTTGGAGAAAGGAACGATGCAGAACGACGTTAAATTAATGTCCTGATCGCGTGATTGCGTGATTGCATGATTGCCAATCACGATCAATGGAATGGCCCTGTGGGCCATTTCACACAGACAAGCTTAACCAAACTCGCGATGTCCATTGTTATTTTCTGGATGCACCCAATACACCCGGTGTTGAGCTGCCCCGTCTCGCGTCAGTATGATACATGTCGGCTGCTCTGAAAACTGCTGAAACGGCAAAAATAACTTTGGTAAGGTCGCTAAATTATGCTACAGCAGCAATGACTTTGAAGTATGCCACGTTCGTACCCCTCGAGGGTATATTGATGATGATCATCAGCCAGTGGAGGTCAGCTCAAACTGGGGAAGCTAAGAGGTTTTCTGTCACGAAAGTGGTTCAAGCAGCTTTCCGTTTCCATATTAACCTCAAATGGGCCAACCGTATGTGCACAGTCAGAAGATCTGTGCCGCTTGATCCCTAGCCCAGAACTATAAACGAAACTGTGTCTTGATCAGGTCGTTTGAGAAGCAAGATCGAGTCCCTCACAAGCCTTTCGACAGCGTCCCCTGGCGCACCTTTATTCCTATGTTTTCTCCTCCTGATTACCAAACTCATTGTGCGGTGTTTATGTTTGTCCACTCGGGGAATTGTCGTTTCTCGAACAGCTACAAACAGATTTATCGATCCGTTTCACATCAAAGCATACGTCCATCAGAAAAACCAATGCTCACCTACATACATGGACCGGGATCGCATCTCCTGAGCACCATCGTTTTCGCCGTGGCTTGAGCACTTTTCCTGGAGTACAAAGTTGACATGCGCCACCTTTCACCGCTCGAACACTCCCCGTCAAACTAAGACCTTTCGCCGTCCAACATCGTTCTCTACAAACTACCACGATCATCCAACCAACGCTTCCCCATCCCCCAACCCTCTTTACACACTACCATCCTCGCCTAACCAACACGCTTCCCTAATCTCCCAAATCCCCCTCTGCTGTGAAAAGGCCACCATGGTCTCAACACGGAGCCGAGTTCTTCGGGCAATTCAGCCCAATACGCTTCACGTCACTCGAGCAAAAACGAGAAGCAAGGACACATCCGACCTGTGCACAGAGAGTGCACAGATGATATCCGAGCAAGATTCAGAAGTTTCCGCTACTCGCTTATCCTTTGCAGAGAACGATAGACCGCCTGCAACGGCCGACGACGACGTGTCTGCGTCTTCACTCGCAAGAGCCACCGACAATGCAGAGAACGATAGACCGCCTGCAACAGCTGACGTCGATGTGTCTGCGGCTTCACCCACCAGCGCTTGGAGCGTGTTGTCAATGACATCTGAATCTTTTTCGTGTCTCTTGCGAGTGAAGACGCAGACACGTCGTCGTCGGCCGTTGCAGGCGGTCTATCGTTCTCTGCAAAGGATAAGCGAGTAGCGGAAACTTCTGAATCTTGCTCGGATATCATCTGTGCACTCTCTGTGCACAGGTCGGATGTGTCCTTGCTTCTCGTTTTTGCTCGAGTGACGTGAAGCGTATTGGGCTGAATTGCCCGAAGAACTCGGCTCCGTGTTGAGACCATGGTGGCCTTTTCACAGCAGAGGGGGATTTGGGAGATTAGGGAAGCGTGTTGGTTAGGCGAGGATGGTAGTGTGTAAAGAGGGTTGGGGGATGGGGAAGCGTTGGTTGGATGATCGTGGTAGTTTGTAGAGAACGATGTTGGACGGCGAAAGGTCTTAGTTTGACGGGGAGTGTTCGAGCGGTGAAAGGTGGCGCATGTCAACTTTGTACTCCAGGAAAAGTGCTCAAGCCACGGCGAAAACGATGGTGCTCAGGAGATGCGATCCCGGTCCATGTATGTAGGTGAGCATTGGTTTTTCTGATGGACGTATGCTTTGATGTGAAACGGATCGATAAATCTGTTTGTAGCTGTTCGAGAAACGACAATTCCCCGAGTGGACAAACATAAACACCACACAATGAGTTTGGTAATCAGGAGGAGAAAACATAGGAATAAAGATGCGCCAGGGGACGCTGTCGAAAGGCTTGTGAGGGACTCGATCTTGCTTCTCAAACGACCTGATCAAGACACAGTTTCGTTTATAGTTCTGGGCTAGGGATCAAGCGGCACAGATCTTCTGACTGTGCACATACGGTTGGCCCATTTGAGATTAATATGGAAACGGAAAGCTGCTTGAACCACTTTCGTGACAGAAAACCTCTTAGCTTCCCCAGTTTGAGCTGACCTCCACTGGCTGATGATCATCATCAATATACCCTCGAGGGGTACGAACGTGGCATACTTCAAAGGCATTGCTGCTGTAGCATAATTTAGCGACCTTACCAAAGTTATTTTTGCCGTTTCAGCAGTTTTCAGAGCAGCCGACATGTATCATACTGACGCGAGACGGGGCAGCTCAACACCGGGTGTATTGGGTGCATCCAGAAAATAGCACTCTAACACACAGACAAGCTTCACCAAACTCGCGATGTCCTCCTTGGTCGAGAAAAAACCCCGCATTCCAAGGTTTGAGTACGATATCAACACGGAGGAGGAAATCCCAAAGCTGCGCGAAGTCATACCGGGCTGGGGGACGTCATCATCTGAGGATAGTGCACTCATTGTTGAACCGATCATAGGGGGAATTACAAATCGCATCTACAAACTATCGAACCCGCGTCAAAACCCCTGCTCAGTTCTCGTGCGGATCTTCGGAGGAGAGACCATTTTCACACCCTCCGAGAGACAGCAAGAGAACGCCGTTTTCGAAGAGCTCGGGAAAATCGGTGTTGCTCCCAAGTTGATAGCGCTGTTCGGCAATGGGCGTGTTGAAGCGTTTCTTAACTCACGAGCCATTGTGTTGGACGAAATGGTCGACCCTGTGGTCATGACAGGTGTCGCTCGTGCCATGGCGAAGTTGCATAAGTTCGAGCCAAGCGGAGGGTTGGAGTTGAGTCGGTCTCCAGGTGTATGGGCGGACATAGATAAGTGGGTACCAGAAGTACTGAATTTGCGAGAGAAAAACTCAGCATTTGTTGAAAAGCTATCAGTGAACTTGGACAAATGCGTCAAGGGGCTGCAAGATATTAGAAAAGCTCTGGCTGAGAGGCAATCATCGAGCCCGATTGTATTTTGTCACAACGATTTGCTCTGCGGTAATATTTTAAGGTCCCTGAACCAGGGGACAGCTGTGTCGATCGTCGATTTTGAGTATAGCTCCTTCAACTATAGGGGCTTTGATATTGGAAACTTTTTCTGTGAGGCGATGGGGGGAACGCAAGATGGATATATTGACGCCTCAAGGTATCCATCGAGTAGTGCGCGACGCTTGTTCTGCAGGAAGTATCTGGAGGAGTTTTGTGGGTGTCAGCCGGAGGAGTATGCTGTTTCTGAGCTCGTTGCGGAGGCAGAGGAGTACGGAATGTTGGCGCACTTGTACTGGGGCTTTTGGGGACTCGTACAGAGCGTTACTTCTCCTGTCGACTTTCCGTATGCGTTGTTTGCTGATCAACGATTTACACGCTTTTTCGAGAAATACTCACCGTGACAACTACCTCACTGAAATACGCAGACTAGCCCCGTGCCTAAAACTTATCTTGAAGATAGAGCGCTTCAAAATGAATACCAACAATCCCGGGTGCAGAGATACGCCATCACGATCGCTTTTCGAGGTGACTAATAGCCAAAAGGATATCACGTGCCAATCTCGATAAGCTTGTTTCGCCGCAGCGGACCGCTGCAGGTGAAAGCCTGTCGATAAGGCATGGAGAGAAGACCGTATTTAGTGCCGCTATAGCGAGAGAATAGGAGTTTGATAAGTTTACGAAAGACGGCGCTTTTTGAATGAAAGTTCCGCCTCACGACTCAAAGTAAGCAGGATACATCTCCGCCGTGTGGGAATGCAGAGAAAGCATTTACTGGATCGACTTCCGCTGGAGCCCTACGAAACCGCAATTCGACAACACGAAAGCAAAAGATCGACCTGGTTAGAACAATTCCCTCGCACGCATACACGGAAAATGCGCGAGATAGTCTAATTAGAAACGCACCTGGAGGCATGCTTTGCTGGAGCTTGTCGGCCTTGTCGCTATCCTTGACGACGAGGGTGTACAAGTACTTTGAGCAGCGAACCTTAAATTTGAGCGATCCGTTCTTCTGCTTTTTGATGGTTACGCTGCGCGCATCCTTGCGGCGAGCGGCCATGAGGAAGTCCTTGATTTCGTGTACTTGCTTCGGCTGCGTGTGGGATTGTTTAGGTTAAGCATGGTATGGATGAGTCAGAATTTGTTCCTGAGTGCGCAACGAGAATGATACGTGGAGTACGCAGACTTACCATTTTGAGGTTGGTGCGAGAGGTGCAGACGAGAACAAAACTGTCACGACTTCAAGGTACGGCACAATCGGAAGTATCAAACGGAGCATCGGAATTCTGACGGAGATGGGATAATCAAGGAAGGTGTTCCCGGCCGGCGCCGACGAGAATTACAGAGAAAAACTAAGTTAGGGTTACTGAGGGAGGCATTACAGAAAAAGAAATGGTCTCGAGGTGTGACTGCTGAATACTTACAGCAAAGTATTATTTTATTTGAAAAACACTTATTTAATACTGTAAGGCATGGAAAAGACATTTGGACCCTTCCCAGCTCCTCGGTGCACTCTGATGTTGGCACCAGACCTTTTTTTCTATCAAACCATTAAAACAACTTCCAGGACACACACAGAATTGAAGCCTCGGCATTTATCCACAGTATGCTGAGGGTTTGAAACTCTTCAGCCAAGGTAACCAAATATCAGACTGACACAGGTTCACCTCCGCATTCGTGCCCCACACTTGCATTATTCTAACGCAATGCTACCGAACACACCCGACAGAGGCGCGCTCCTGCCCAGCTTCTTCTACCCCTCTCCGCAAACCGAACTTAGTGTTTCCGAACTTTTGTCCTCCACACCCTTAGACGAAGACTGGGGCGTGAAGGAAGGTTTTCTCTGCGCCATACCCCCAAGGCGCGTTCTGAAGAACGCGGCCGACTTTGAGAGACTGCTCTGCGACTCGCGCAGTCCCAAGGCACCTTCTGTGGATAAAATACGAAGTGCGCTTGTCAAGAGATGTCAGAGTATACATAAGGAATACGTACGAGAGAGAAAGGCTGACCTTAAACGAAAGACAATTGAACAACAACTGAAAAGTTTGGCGGCCCAACAGATGGTCGACGCAGAACGCATGATCGCTGATTTTTATGAGGCCGAATGACCGGGGGCCTCTTTCCATGCGCTCATGACGGGACATCAACTCAAAACGTTCATACGAGGAGTAGGCATGGACGCATTTGTCTGTGGGGGGATGACTGTAGTTCCTCGCCTCGCCTCGCCTCGCTCGCCGTGTTGCATTAGAGGCCCGACTTGCTCATCAATATGTTGATGGGAATCCTGCTGTATGAGGCGCTTTGCAGCGCACAAAGCGTGCGCCTTCTCCGCTGATGTATCCAGTGGCCTCTTCTTGCTTGATTTATGCTCTGGCCGCAGTTGTTTCTCTATGGGTGTCCGGAGACGCGGAGGAGAGAGGCTCGGGTTGAGTACGTATCGCATGAAGGTCCTGGAAGGGGACTTCTCACGAGAGGGCGTTCGCTCTGCGACACTATGATACACCTTATAGAGTGGGCTGGAGCTATTGCGAGTTTACAGATGCGCATGCAAACATTAATAATATTTATGCGTATTTTCTCGACGGTTGTTTTTGACACTTCTGATCCCGACGGCTACCAAGCATGAAGGAATCTATGCCGAAGCGGCCGACCACCCTTCTCTGGCATCTACACAGCCTGCTCGTCTGACGCCAGTTGATCCCACTACTCACCGGCAACTTGCTAGTCTCTACGACAAAGTACGAGTCGTCATGGATCGAACATTCCTAGCGATAAGAGATGAGCTTTCGGTTCGTGAAGCTACTAAAGAAAAAATCAAGATATGCCGCGATGATGCAGAAATTCAAGTACGCGTTGCCCAGAAAGCAATTGCTGATATGCTCATCGAAAACAACATCCACTCAGTAGCTGACAAGGCTCTGAAAGAGCTGAACGCGACAGGTCCGCTCATCGTAAAGATTGAGAAAGCACTTCCAGAGGAACCCGGGTGTTTCTTCAAGTACTTCGACATTTGGAACCCTGTGCTGCAGTCTTGCGCCTCGGTTGCAGTGTTAATAACATTCATCAAGGAAAATACACTGGCCACCAAGGAGAAAGTTATTAAAATGACTGGTGCGGACGTTCGCATGCCTGTCGAGAGCTATCTCTATGGTGTTTGTAACGTGATGCCAGAGCTGTGTCGCCTCAGCATGAACCGCGTGATCAAACGTGACTACGATACGCCTCGCCGCTGCGCTAGCTTCGCGAACGACATTTCGGAAGGCTTCAAGCAGCTCAACTTGCGGAATGATTCCCTGCGGAAGCGATACGATGGCATTAAATATGACGTGAAACGCCTCGAAGAAATTATGTACGACCTCAGCATTCGCGGCCTGGTTAAGAGGGACTGACCGATAGAGAAATGACGAAAACTTGAAAGAGTCGGCCTTGTACATGTACTGTCATCTGTATCAGCTAGGGCTGTCTTATCCATTCACGTTAAAAACCGACCGGCTTCGTACGGAAGCCCCGCGGCATGTGCCTCTTCTTCTGTGATCAAAGCTTCTAACCCGTTACAGCATACCGACCGCGAAACTTTGCTTTCTTGTGTTGTTGCGAAAAACGCTGTCTGAGATGATCATGGCTTGAGATTGAAGTACTGTTTTAGAAACTCGAACGTGGAGAAAGTGATGGCTGTGCCTGGGGTAATCCAGAGAACCCTGGCTGACAGACCCTTGAAAAAGCCTCTAAAACCCTCCTCTGCCGCAATGACTCTCGCAGCATGCCATGTATTCCGATACACGACTCTTCCAGTCTTTGCAGTGGACTGGCTCACAACAAGATGGTCCCCCTGCGTTTGTATTCTTGTCTTGATGACATCTAGAGGCGTTGTAAACGCGCCCGCGATTGCTCCCGCTGCTGACGCACAGAGCGCCACAGCCGGGGTGGGCAATTCGTCTGGCGATGTATGAGCCTTTCCTTTCCCCGTTTGGGCGGCCATGAGCTTAAACCTCTCATAGGTCGCAAAGTAAATCATAGCGTACGGCCCAAAGACGCCAAGTGTGAGTCCATAGCCCTTAAAGAACGCTCTGGGCCCTTCATGAACCATGAGATCCCTCGCGATAGTAGACGAGCTAGCGGTCGACATGGCGCCTGCGCGGACCTGTGCGCGCTGCTTGACTACCTCCATAGGGACCCAAAACACGGCGCTGACAGTCTCGGCGGCGAGCCCAGAGGCAAGGTGGAGGGCGGGCGAGTTGGGTCCGAAGGATGTGGAGTGGACGAGATGGCGCTTGGCTTCGTCGTAGGTGGAGAGGTAGGTAGCAACGGCGGGAGCTTGCATGAGGATAGAAATGCCGAAGCCACGGTAGAGACCCCGGACACCGTCGGTGGAGACGACGTGACGCAGGGTTGACAGCAAGGTGGCGGTGGCTTTGTTGGTCACCATGAGACGACTGCGTAGCGTGTCCATTGGGTGGACGAAGCATCGGGAAAAACAGCCCGCCGCGGCAGAGGCGGCAAGGAGAGAGAGGCCCATTGAAGATGAGAATATGGGGTGATGACGTTGAGGGAGAAGCACTTACGGGAGGAGCTCCAGACCGAAGGCCATCGAGGACATCTCGGCTCCTCTCTCTCCTCTCCGCTGCATTCGTTGATCCATTGGCGGGTGCTCATACTGCACCACCATGCCCTCATGTTTAATAAAGAAACCCCAGAGTCCACGTGTATCATACACAAGTGCCCTGTGGCGCAGCCCTGTAAATGCGCCATACAAAGATGAGATACAGAGAGATCGAAGCTATTTGATGAGCACTTCCTAAACTATGGTACAGTACTGTTGCGGTATGGTACAGTACTGTTGCGGTAATCCAACCGCGAGGCACCGAGCGAGTCGTAAAGTCGGGAATCCACCCACTTCCTTTACTCTTTGCTAGTTCGCTGCCCCCCCTCTCTATCTCTGAGGGTAGGCGATTAAGTACTACTCCCCGGGAGGCCTCAGCTGTCTCTGGTCTTTCCTCCCCTGCCCCCTTTCCTTTCGACCCAGCAGCTCCCGACCACCCGGCGCTGTCCCCTGCCCCAACTCCTACCGTCCATTGCCGTCCTCCTTGCCGTTGGCGCTACGCGCGACACCAGCTGCACCCCTTTTTCCCTTCGGAAGACTGGATTACCCGCCCTTTCGGTTACCTACATGCGCGCACGTGCACTCCTGTTCCGGTTCGCGATCCGTTCGTCCACGTTTACACGTGGGATTCAGTTCTTCCTCAACATCCGTCCCTTTTCCTTCGCACCTGTCTAAATCGGCCGACGATCCGCGATACTCCGATCGAACAGTCGCACAATGACGGTAGGTATGTCTTCTTCCTTGGTCCATTTTGGGGACTTTCGGCCAGCGATGCGAAGCTTGAACAGCCTGTGCCTTTTCCCAGTGCGAGGTTCTTCGATTTCCTTCGAATCTTTCATGCGCTCGAGTAGTCGTAGTCCATCTGGAAACACTCCATTCCTGGCATTGCAAGTCTGGACGGCGGCTGCGGAAATCTTTTGCATACGGTTCGGATGTACGCGAGCTATCTTTCCTCCCAACTCCGACTTCAGCATGAAGCTCACAGGGGAAAGCACTTCATCAACGCGATACGGGCCCAGCCAGGGTCGGACAATTTTGTTCCCTTCCTTGCTGGCCAGTTCCGGAGACCACACCAGCACCCGGTCTCCGGCGACAAATCCCAGATCCTTGACGTCCTTGTCGTATTCGTCGGCGGCCACTTCCCTCGCCCTCACTCCCCGTGACAGAAGCCGGTTGTGTAAATCTCTGAGGTGACTGCTGAGCTCATACGGCTCTCCACGAACGCGGCTGGATTCCTCAGCCCCCCACGACATAAATGCAGAAATGCCAAACATTGCTTCATATGGCGTCAAGCCAGTGGCCTCGTTCACGACAGTATTGTACCGGAAGCATGCGAGGGAAACGTGTTCATCCCAGTCCTGGCTTCCAGTGCTCATGAAGCATGCAATGTCTCGCATCAAGGTCCTGTTCCATCTCTCGACACAGCCGTTCGCCTGTGGGTGCAGGGGTGAAGTCTTGATGCCACTCACTCCGAGTTGCTCCGCCATCGCCTTGACCACGGTTCCGATAAAATTCGGTCCACGATCCGACAAAAGTCTCTCCATTGGACCGAAGATGGACATCCATTCATCTAGTATCAGCTTGGCGACGGTGTCGGCACGCTCGTCTGGAATCGGGATGGCACGGGCAAAGCGCGTAA